CACACCGTTGCAAATTAAAGGAGCTGAAATCCTCATTTGGACTTAAAGCTGACATGCCCCAGTATGGGCAGAAGCAGACGACGGACGTCCCAAAATCATGGCTTTGTTAAAAATATCTAGATCAGAGCATGTACATGGGTACAGATAAGGGTGGGAAACACAGGAAATCCAGGACTAATAAACTACTCTGGACCAATACTGAGAGTAGCCATACCAGGAGGGTAAGGGGAAGATGGGGGGAGATAAGGGGAACCAAACACAATGACTTACCTATAATCCCCTCCCAGGGGGATGGACAACAGACAAAGGATTGGGGGAGACATCAAACAGTGCAAGACATAAAAAAAATAAAATTTGTAAATTATCAAGGGTTTTATGAGGAAGGGAGGGATGGCAAGGCAGGGTAAAAAAGTGAGGAGCTGATACCAAGAGCTCAAGTAGAAAGAAAATGCTTTGAAAATGATGATGGCAACATATGGACAAATGTACTTGAGACAATGAATGTATGTATGGATTGTGATAAGAGTTGTGCAAGGCCCAATAAAATGATTAAAAAAAGAAGCAGCAATTTGATAGTTACCAGAGGTGTGAGAGAAAGTAACAGGCTAGAATAGGGAGGTGTTAATTTGGGTGAGGGGAATGAAAGTATCCTAATAGTGGAGATGGGCAACAAAACAAAAAGGGGGTGAGGGGTTGGGGTTTTAACAAGGAAAGCCATTATAAAGTATAAGTTGTTGAAATAAAAAATGACCTAATATGTAAACATCTACCTAATTCACAATAGTTGTTTCTTAACTTTATAGACTCCATGGAGAATACAGAAAGGGAATGAATAACTGAATTGCAGGTGAACGGACACACAGGATGGTTTATGACACACACACACACACACACAATAATAATAATAAGGGTTTCTGAGGGGATAGGATGGGGAGAGAGGGGCTAAAGGGAGCTGATATTGAAGAGTTCAAGAAAGAAAGAAAATACTTTGAAACTGATGGTGGTAGCAATTGTAAAATTATGCTTGATCTAACTGAATTATGGATTGTTATAATGTCTCTAAGAGCTCCCAATTGAATGTTTAATTTTAAAAGAAAGAAATTATATCAATTTGCAATTTGGGGATTTTGTTTAATACAGATTGGTATGATTTTGTTGGTCTTACCTCATACGTATGGAGAAAAAACACATTAAACCAGTTTACAAAAACTGTCAAAACTTCATTATTTAAAGACTATAGCTGTTCATTGTTTATGCTATAGCTGGTACTCTTCAGAAAATACCTAAACTGATTACATTATTGAGGTAGTATTCACTCTTGAATTCAGCCACACACAGTTCCATGAATTTTTGTTAGAAATAGCTGATAGTATTTTAAAATCCTGACCTATCAAACCCAATCAGATAAAGTTTCATTGCAATTTTTTGAGCTAAGGGCCAACATTGAAATTTTTTGAATAAGAATGACATAACCATCAAGCTCAAACAATGACTTTGGAAAATTGGTTTCGCAAGAGCCATGATATTTCTCAAGTTCAATCAATCTGTCAAAAATTACAAAGCCAAAAAAAGAAAGCAGTTACACATGAAACACTGTGGCAAAGTCAACACATTCTGACAATAGCCAATACTGCTTGAATGACAAAGAGTGTCCAGTTGCTTTATATAGTTCCTATGCTGTCCAAAGTTCAAAGATCTCCATTTCCACACCGTTTGCACTGGATATACTTTAATAGCTGAAACTACAGTGTTAGCAGCACTTTTTTTCAGATCCTAATGCAAATGCAAAGAAATTTCTACATTTCAAAATTCACTTAATAGTGCTACTGAGGAGCCACACCAAACCGTCAATCTGAAACAAGTGATCAGCAATATGGGATTCTAAAAGATGCAAAATAAGAATAACAGAATTTTAGAAATGCTTTCCAAGTGCTGAATATGCTCAATCAAAACCATAAATATATGGGATGAGTAAGGGCAGTCTCAAAAGATGAAATAAATCTCACATATCAGTATTAACGGATGAGCATTTGCAATTGATACTGATTACAAAAAACATTGTGAATCCCAATTGTTTTCCACAATAAATAACTCCACTGCTCATAGATATGTATACCAAAATATTGTGCTCAATTATTTTTAATTATATCAATAAAATTTTTGTGGATTTCTTTTATCTTGTAATATTTATTATTTTGTCTCTTGGATGACAGACCTGTATTTATCAGTCATTTATAATTATATCACTTTCAAGAGGACTTGCTTACTGAGAAAGAAAATCCACAAATTTCAAAGTTAAGCGCGCGCACATTTATGTGTACACAAGGTACCCCCTAAAAAACAGTACTCTTTTCAAAACAACCTTGTCACCTGCAAAGTACTCTCCGTGACACTTAATACATTTGTCAAATCTGCGATACCATTCTTGGAAACATTTTCAAACTATTTAGATGGCTGGCAACACCTCCCTTGTTTTTTCCCTTGGACTCTTCTATGTCTTCAACTTGCTGTCCCCTTTCATGTCTCTCTTCATTCCCAGAAACAAAAAGACATCACCCCAAGCAAGGTCATGTGAGTAAGGTGCGTGGGGCCAGAGAGGCAAGCTGATTTTTCCCCCAAAAGCTGGCATACTGAGATAACTGCATGAGCGGGTGCATTGTCCCCTCGTGTATATGTGTACGTATACACACACACACACACACACACACACACGTAAATAAAAAAATAGTGATACTAGGGTTCCAGTTCATATATACATGGGTTCATTCTAAACAAAACATGTTCAAACATGTGTCTGTAATCAATGGACAGCTGCAGACATGTTCTCTCAGTAACAGACTTGTTTTAAACCGCCTTAGAATGGATTTCCAAATCAGTTAAATTTAAGGCACAAGGGTCAGCTTAAAACATTATGACAACTGTTTGAGGGGACTTCAAAGAGTTAATCGTCATAGATTTTTCTCAAAGGATACAGAATAATGGGGGGGTGGTCGGGGGTGGCTTATGATGAGCAAATTTTATGAAAACTGCTCAGTAAGAAAAGCATTAAGAAAGTTGCTCTAAGGAAATTTTCCCATCAAGACAAAGCATCTGATCAATGGCTGTTCTACGAAAATTGTGTTGGGAAACCTTACCTGTTCCCCTACATTCTGATCTTAATTTCTTCAAACTTTTCATTTCCAAAGCACAAAGACCATTTCAAGGAAAAACAACTTAAGTCCACTAAGGAGGTCAAAACTTCCATTTACATGGTATAAATCAGAGTGCAGAACTCTCTGGGAAAGGATTGGAGATGGGAACACCTCCGTCAGAAGTGTCTAGACCTAGATAGAAGATATGCCCAGAAACAAAAGCTATAGCTTCACACTGATATTTTTGTTTAATAAAGGTCTGTATGATTTTGTAGAAATATTTATTTACCCTCCTGTGTTTATAAAATAAACATCAATGAACTAATAATCAAAATAAAAACGAGTTACCTCTAAGGTGATTCCAACTCATGATGATCCCATGTATATTAGAATAGAAATGTGCTCCATAGGGTATTCAAGGGTTTAATTTATCACTAAGTGCCTCTGAGTAGACGTTTTTGGGTCAGCATCTGAGTGCAATTAACCAAGTGCACAACCCACCAGAGATTCCAAACAATCATAATAATGTACAAATATGCTGACAAAGTGATAGGCCAGCAGAGTAACTTCATTTGTGCTTTTGTTTTCCTTTGAAACATTGTTTTCCTTTGGAAACATTAACAGGAAACGTTACCCATCAGCAGTAAACTTAGGAAAGAGTTGCACAATTGATTTTTTTGGTTAGGCACAAGTTGTTAGACAATAATCCTGCTATAGTAAAGAGGAAATTCCTACTCGTTAAGAAAGTTTTGCTGTCTTTGACCTTTAAAATGGGAATAAAGCATCTCTCTCAAAATATTGTTAATAAGAACTAAATAAGCAATAAAGCAAATATAAATAATTGTTTTTGTTACAAACGGCACTACTTCTACATTTATAAAGCATGCAGATGGACACTGGGCCTCTACTCAAGTACTCCCTCAACACAAGAACATTTTGCTCTAATAATCCTGCATTCTGTGATGCTCACCTTCCCCACACAATCACTGAAGACGAAATGGGTGCATAAGCAAATGGGAAGAAAGCTGATGGTGCCTGCTTATCCAAAGATATAGTATCTGGGGTCTTAAAGGCTTAAAGATAAAGATAAACAAGCAGCCATCTAGCAGAGAAGCAACCAAGCCCACATGGAAGAAGCACACCAACCAGCCTGTGTGATCAAGAGGTATCGATGGGACCAAGTATCAGGCACCAAAGAACGAAAATTCCTATCCCTGTGAATGAGAATCCAGAGTGGAGACCCAAAACCCACCTGTAGGCAATTGGACATCCCCTGACAGAAAGGTCGCAGTGAGGAGACGGGCCAGCCAGGGTGCAGTATAGCACCAATGAAACATACAGCTTTCCTCTAGTTCTGTAATGCCATTTTCTCAGCTAAAACACAGGCATCTTTTTAAACTATACGCAATCCCTCACAACTTCATGTTTGTATTTTGTGCTATTTTTATGCTAAATAAATGAAACCCACAACCATCAAGATGAGTTAGACTCATGCCCAAACAAACTCAAAGCCATCAAGCAGATTGACTCACATCTACCCTATTAGAGCAGAGAACTGTCCCTATGGATTTCTAATAGGTGTTTGGGAATCCATGGATCTAGAATTCAATACCAAAATCAAGCCAAGTCACATATACTCAAGTATTAACTATGATGCCTATGAAACCACCTATAGTGACTGTTTCCACTATAATGCACACACGATAATTAATCATTACATCAAGCTCCATTAAAAAAAAAAAAAGGACTAAAAACTGCCACTTGAATGGTATTAACATTCTATACCCAAAGATATGAAGAGTAAAAGAAAGGTTTCCATTATTTATATTAGTAAGGACACAAAGAAAGAGTGAGTCATTACGTGCTTACCTCCTATTCCAGGTCCCAAAGTGGGTGCAGTGGTACTCTGCCCCGTAGTGCCACTGGCAGGACTACCACCAGTGCCAGACACAGAGCTGGCGGTGCTACTGGAACCTGATGAACTCTGGGAAGCCGGTGGAGCCCATGGATTGGGTAATGGATCTCTATTTTCTGTACGGGATGGTTGACTACCTTCACCAGAGGATGTATTGCTCACTAAGGAAGCAAATGGATTTCCACCAAACTGTAAACAAAGATATAAAGTTCATAAATATTTTATTTTAATAATGGATATAAAACTTATTTTCCCCATAAAAAAGTACTCTTATATAAAAGAACCCATTATTAATTTTCCCCATTATTAATTTTGTCCTCCATAAGTATGTGCTGTAATCCTGGTCCCTGTGAATACTCCTATTTGGAAACATGACTGTTACTAAATGAGACCAAATTATCAATGTAGGTACAGTGTATCCCAAACTTAATCACTTCTTAGGTGGTATAGTGGGGTTCTGTGTTGGTCTAACTGCAAGGTCAGCAGTTCGAAACTACCAGCTGCTCTAAGGGAGAAAGACAAGACTTTTTACTCCCATGAAGATTCCTAGGTTTGAAAACTCACAGGAGCAGTTCTCCCTTGTCCTATAGGGTCACTGTGAGTCAGAAGCTACTTGATGACAGTGAGTTTTCTCAAAGATGAGAAATGCAAGGACTACAGAATCTGAGATGAGATGAACCATTCCCGAGGTAAAAAAGAAAAAGGCTTTCTCTAGAACCAGTGCTCTGAACTTGAACTGTTAGTCCCTTAAGTTGGGAGAAAGTAAATTTCTATTCTTTATACCCTTTCACTTATGGTATTTCTATTATAGCAGGATAAGAACACAAGGTACCTTCAATCTCTCTCGCGCGTGTGCATGGACACACGCACATTCTAACAGGAGTTTGTCCTCAGCCTGAACCTTGGAACAATCTCTCACCTGTTCTTGAGCAGCACTTAGCATTGGTTCTTGAATATCAGTGTACATGCGCCGTAAAGCATTATATCCTCCTGGGATGCTTTCCAGGTTGCTCAAGGCTCGGTCCTGGTTCCTCATCATTTCCTGCATCATTGCTGGATTCCTAGCAAGTTCCAATGTCTGTGACAATTTCAATAAAAGGTCAAAAAACACATATGAATTATCTTTAGTGATTAACTATTAACTAATTTTGTAATTTTTCTAATCACAAAAAGTATTCAATATTTAAATTAAAAACGTGTCTGAATTAAAGCTTTGACTTTCCTAAACAAAAATTAGCATTCTTCTCTTTAGCCTAGTCTGGGGTAAGCTCTTCAAGCACATAAAATAAGAAATCACTATATAATTTCTTAGCTAAATGGATTTAAATAGCTTTCCACATACCTGTCTCATTATATCTGGATTATTCAGCATGTGACTAATTTCTGGATTTCTCTGTATCAACTGCTGCATTTGTGGATTAGCCATAATTAATTGCCTCATTAGATCAGGATTTGATAGCATGCTCTGGACAAAAGGATTTTCCATTATCTGGACCATCATTTCTGGGTTGGACATAAGTTGTCGCTGCATCTGGCTTTGTAGTTCAGAAAAGTTGGATGTATTCAAACCCAAGCTACTGAGACCTGCAAGCCCTCCAAGGCCACCTAAAAAGATAAAGGGGGGCAGATGGACACATAAATGAAAGCAACAAGTTGTAATACTAACATGACTAGACTAAAATATGAAGACACAGAAGTATTCATTGTGTCCCTTATTAAATTATAAGAAACCCTTTAAAAACAAAAATATAAATCGTATTACTTTCACAAGCACATGTTTAAAATCTATAAAATTAGCCAAAAACTCACTCAGGTTGATACTTAAAACAAACTAAATATATTTTCAGATGGCATCTAATGAAAGAAAGTATAAACATATAATTGTATTATACTTTTAATAATACAAGTTGACTTCAAAACATTCATGAAAAATAAAATTAAATGATAATGGAATTTTTTCACAAACTCTTTAAAAGTTCCCTTTCTTTGCACAAAATTAGTTTAACTCTCAACAAAAAGATTCAGGCTCAGACAACTTCACTGGTGACTTCTACCAAACATTCAGAGAAGAGTTGACATCTACTCTATACAACTACTCCAGAACACAGAAAAGTATAAAAACTTCTAAATTAATTTTATGAAATGAGCATTACCCTGATACCAAAACCAGGCAAGAAAATCCTAGCCATAAGTAATACAACAGCATATCCAAAAATAATACATTGTGATCATGTAGCATTCATACCGAGTATATAAGATTGTTTGACCTTAGAAAAATAATAATCATAGTTCATCACATAAGTAAAACAGAGACAAATAGCCACATGATCATATGAATCCATGCATAAATTGCATTTGACCCCCAAAAAATCTATTCCTAATGAAAACACTCAACAAAATAGAAATGGAAGGGAAAATCTTCAACGTAAGAGCATATACACAGGACCAATGGCCCACAGGACCAATACAGGAAAATGACAAAGCATACTCTAAAAAAAAATAAATCAAGAGACCAACATTAATGGAAGAATATACCATGCTCATAGAAAGACTTAACAATGAAAATGGCAATACTACCCCCGCCCCCAAACAACCACAGATATAATACAATACTGATGACGACTCCAACATCATTCTTTAAGGAGATGGAAAAGTTAATCACTGTTTGTATATGGAAAGAAATCTTGGATCAGAGGAAAGTACTACCAAAGAACCACCACCAAGTAGGAAGCTTCCTATTTCCCAATCTCAAAATCTACACCCACGGAAGTCAAAACAGTCCGGTACTGGTACCATGACAGGTACATATAGACTAATGGGACAGAACTGACAACCCAGCCCCCAAAGTCAATTTATCCATCTTTGATACAAGGCTGAAAAGCATGAAATGAGGAAGTGACAGGACTGGGAAAACACGGTATCTATTCACAAAAATTAAACAAGACCCATACCTCTCAATATATATAAAGACAAACTCAAGATTGATCAAACACCTAAATTGAAACCTCAAAACTAATAAAAACTCACTGCCATCAGTCCATGAAGACTCAGTGGTGACCACACAGGGAAGGGAGAACTGACCTGTGGGTTCTAAGACTGTAAAAGCCTTTACAGAAAGTCCAGTCTGATGGTTTGGAGCTGATGACCTTGCAGGTCGCAGCCCAACCTATAGCCACATTACCACCTAGAAATAAAAATCACCAAAGAAAAAACAGAGGTAAACTTAGGGACCCTACTACATGGCATAAAGACCCTACCAACCATAAAGACAAACTAGATGGCTGGAATTGCCGAAAAATTAGACAAAGTCAAAATATTTCACTAAAAATGAGAACTCACAAATTGGAGGGAAAATACTTGGCAATGACATATAGGACATGGGGCAAGTATATATGTATTTTTAAAAGTCAACACCTCAACAACAAAAAGATAAATCATCCAATTGGAAAATGAACAGACACCATGAAAAGACACATTACCAAAGATGACAGGAGACCGTCAAGAAGCATATGAAAAAATGCACTTGAACATTAGCCCATTAAAGAGATAAATATCAAAACAAGGTGACACCATCTCAGCATAGTACTAACAATAAATTTAAAAACAAAAAACAAGCTAACAACAAACACAGAAGTATGAAGAAACGGGGATTCTTATACACTCCTGGTGTGCCTGTCAGGATGGAGCTTCCTAAAGTTGGAAATAGAAATACCACATGACTCAGCAATCTTTCTACTTGGTATATATCCTAGAGACAAGAAGAGAGGGGGAACAAATACATTGATGCACATCCACATTCATTACCAACACTATTTGCAATAGCAAAAGATGGAAACAAGTAAATGCCCACCAATGGAAGCGTGGACAAAGTATGATGAATGCACACACCAAAGATTAGCAATGTAAAGGGTAATGAAAAATCTCAGAAACACTGCATTAACATGGATGAGCCTGGAAGAAATTATTCTGAGTGAAATTATTCGATAACAAAAGAATATTCTATGTACCACATTATTATAAAAAGCCAAGAAAAAGTTTTCACACTAAAAGAAACATTCTTTACTGGTAAGTTTCTAAGGGTCAGAGGGAAGGAGAGAAAATCACTTATTAGACAGTAGACACAGTGTGTGAAGGGCAAGACAATACTTAATAGAGGAGGCTGGCAAAAATATGACTGAGGAACTTTGAGCATGTTATGAATACAGTTGTGCGAGAATTTTAAGTGAATTCCTGTATGCTGAGTTTGCCACAGGGACTGACAGGAAGGAAACTGCAGAGAACAGCCTAGTGGCTTATAAAGCTGCTAGTGATATTGCAATGACAGAACTTCCCACCAACACACCCCATTCGCTTCTGTCTTGCACTCAACTTTCTGTATTCTACTACAAAATGCTTCAATTCCCGACCGTGCCTGCAGGTTGGCAAAAGCAGCTTTGATGATGCAACTGCAGAACTGGATACTCTGAGTGAAGGAAGCTATAAAGCCTCCACACTTATCATGCAATTATTACGTGATAATCTGACACTATGGACTTCAGACAGGCAGGGTGATGGTGAGGAGCAAAACAAAGAAGCACTGCAGGATGTGGAAGATGAAGATCAGTGAGACTAAAAAGCCAAGAGAATCCATCTCTGACCACCCCAATGACACTAACAGGACTGCATATAGAGGATTTTCAGCATTACTGTGCCAGTATGTCACCAATCAGTGACGAGATCACCATCAGAAATGAAAATTACATTCGAAAGTCATTAGACTTCTAGGAGCTGTGAACAATTTGAGAGAGGGGCTAATTAATCACACTAGAGAGGCATATGCATTAACATTGCTTCCTTTTGGTTTAATTCAAAATTTTATACCAATGTCTCAAATTAATTAGGTGTTAGTTTGAGGTAGTTAAAGGTTATTGTAATGGTTTTACTGTAAAAAGTGTTTCAAACTATACTGAGATGTTGCTGAAAAAGTATGGTGCTGGTAACTGTTCAACAATCCATGGCTGCTCATTCTTGCCTACTTCTATTCTCCCTCTGAAGCAGGCTAGCATTGAAGGTGGTATGGAAAAGCCTGCATGAGCGGTCAATTCTTTGTTCCTTCTTCCCTTTCCCTCCGCATCCCCTTGCCCCCCACCCCACTCCTGCCCTCCTTCGCTCGCTCAGCCTCTTTCAGTATGTGTAACTTGAAGCTAATTTGTACTACTGGATATCTGACTGGAGCCACAGATACAGAATCTGTATTGTTCTTAGTGAAACACAGCATGGAATTAACATTAAATTTAAATAAAACAAACCTAAATTTTAAAAAAGAAGAACATATTATAGCACAAGGAAAGCACTGTAGGGAGCAAAAGGAAAGCAATGCAGGGAGAAACTCCACTTGTTTCCCCATTTGTAATAAGCCACTAGGTTTGGGAGTGATCTATTACCACAGGACAGCCTATCTTTACTACTCCAACTGCTAAAATGTGCTAAGTAGCAAGGACAGAAAGGTGGACAAAAGCTGCAATACCAAGAGCTCTGAAAGATTTTAAGCACAATATTAATTTCATATTCTTCTAGCACTATGGAACTGAACCAGAGCAAACATGACAAATTAAAATAGTTCATTTAACTATTTCATCAATAGCAATGGGTAATAGTTTTATGGATTGGGAAAGAAGAAAGGCTATGTATGCATCAAGATATTTAGCAATGAGAGGTACTGAATTGAGGAGGGAAATGATACTTTTTCCATTCCATTGTTTTTTTTCCCTTTGATCTGAAAAGAAATATATGGACTACAATATTTAAGAGAACATCAGGTAACCTCCCAAAGAGCTGAATACAAAACTTGGAGTTCAGAGATGGTGTGGATAGAGATAGTTTTAAGAGCTACCAAAATACAGTAATTATTAGCAAGGATATTGTCACTCAAGAGCTAATATATAGTATAAAAGAGACACACCAGAACTCTAAATAATCCAAGCATAAGAAATAAGAGGTAAACCCACAATTAAAAAGTTAAAGAAATTACCAGGGTCAACAGTATCATGGGAATTAAAAGGGGGAAAATGTAAGGAAAGATTGGTAAGCATCACAAGGACCAGATCTAACAACAGTGTGGTGCTTAACTTACCGCTGAGTCAATTCCAACTCATGGTGACTTCATGTGTCAGAGTAGAACCGCACTCCCATTATCCCAGAACCCATCAAGCAACTTTTAAAGGCTTCCAATACAAGTGAATCAACACGAGCCCTAAGGCATAGATGAAGGAGCCTTCAGGCGAGACAGTGTGAAACCTCCATTAGTACTTGTACTCAGCCTTGTGCTCAGCCCTGGGCCAATTACCAACCTTTTGAGCCTAACGGTTCATAGTTGTACAATACCATGCTAAATTGGATGATGCAGCCCAGGGCTGGCTAAATCAGCATCGAACTTTGAAGGTCAAAGATTCTATACCAACTTCTCTTGTTTCTGGATAGAAAAGAGACATTTCCTTAATAGAGTCAGTATCAACTGATGACACCCCGATGTGGTTAGAATAAAACTTCATAGTGTTTTCGATGGGTGCTTTATTTTGAAGAACAGTAGTTGAGCATGCAGAAGTAAGTTGTTAGCCAAGGAGGCTTCCTCCCAAGCCCCAAGTCGGTGGGTGTGTGGTCTACACCTATTTAAGCAAACTCCATGAGGAGGCTGTCTCTTCTGGCAGATAATGTGGAACCTGCACATCTGGCTCATAGATCCACCATAGCCTGCTGACCCTTGGAGCTTATCATTGGCCTGCCATATAGCCTGGAGACCTTGGGTTCTTCAGGAGCCTGACTTGCTGGTTATAGCCAATGAGGCCTCTGTGTGAGCATGGCCTTCTCCTGAGGATTCTGGGAACCCCAGTATTCCTCCTTGGAAGTGGGAGATTTTTTCTCTCTCTCTCTCTCTCCTCTCTCCCTGCGAGACATTTCTGAGAAGTCACATGAAGCTACGCTGAGGCAGTCAGTTTCAGAGCTGGAGACTCCTGGCAATGCTCAGATGCTTACAATGCCACTGGATCCCACAGGACTTCCAACCCACTGGCCTGTGATTTCCCTGCATTCGGCGTCATTGCATGGGTTTCATGAGGCTGAAGAAGACTTTATAGATTGGTATCAGACATATGGGCTAATATATAGGACTTATGAACTTGATCTAGACTGGGATGGGATGTTCTCACAATATTCAATTGTTCTTGTATACATACTTCTTTCTTATACACATATGAATGTCTATAAATTTGTTTCTGTAGTCTACCCAAACTAACACACCATGGATGCATCCACCACTGCTTCCACCACCCTGTGGTGTTTCTAATTCTTAGTTCATAAATCCTAGCACCTTCATAAGTCAAGAAAAGCTTCTACTTGATGTATAGACTGGATATAACTGCTTCTACAACTTTGTGTGTGTCACTTTTATATAAAATTTCTCACGCATGTATATATTATCACTGGTTTGTTTCTCTAGAGAATTGGCTAATTTTCCTCAGAGTCAATTAGAGAGATCATGTCATATATATGATCTCTAGACTTGAAGGACTGCTAGTCTCTCAACTTTCTCTCACAGATGTGAGTTGCACTGAGCCATTTGTAGTGCTTTCTAATTTAACAGTTTATTTCTTGTATTATATATTTATCTGTATATGATTTAACAGTTCATTTCTTGTTATATATCTAATTATCTTTAAATAAATATATTAAATTATCAGCAATTTGGTTTTATCTCTCTAGAGAGCCCTAACACATAGTAATATATATATTAATATGTTAATATATTACTGTTTTTCACTATTAAAGAAAATGTCTCTTACTGACCACTTGTTAAATACAAATGTATGCTAATGAAGCAGACCTATATTCCCAACACTTTCTTACTCTAAGTAAATAGTTACATATGTTTGAGAGGTTCTTTATTTTTGTCTTTGATGTTTCAGTCTTGCAATATTTTATCCAACATTATTTGGGGACGGTTGTTACTTTTCACCCATATGCAAAATCTGTACACATATCAAGAGGCCGTCATTCAAAAAGAACAGTGAAATACTGAGTGGTTTAAAATCAGAAAAGGTATGTGTCAAGGTTGTATCCTCTCACCCTATTATTAAACTTATGCTGGGCAAATACTCCCAGATGTTGAGGGCTATACAAAGAAGAACATGTCCTCAGGGTTGAAGGAAGATGTACTAACAAACAACTTGTGATATGCAGATGACCCAATTTTGCAGCAGAAAGTGGAAAGGCCCTGAAGGACTTGGTGATAGTGATCAAAGACCACAGCCTTCAGTATGGATTACACCTTAACATAAATAAAACAAAAATCCCCCCAACTAGATCAATAAGCAACAATATGATAAACAGAGAAAAGACTGAAGCTTTCAAGATGTTGTTTTATTTGGATCCACAATCAGTGCCCATGGAAATACAGCTAAGGAAAAAAAAAAAAATCAAATGATGTATTGCACAGGGCAAATTTGTTGCAAATGACTTTATAGTATTAAAAGCAAATATGTTATCTTGAAGACCTGAGCCAAGCCATGGAGTCTATTATGACTCACAGAAACCCTACAGTAGGGGTAGAACTGACCCACTGTGAGTTTCAAGGCTGTAACTCTTTACAGGAATAGTAATAAGCGTATCTTTCTCCAGTAGAGTGGCTAGTGGTTTCTAACTGCTGACCTTGCAAAACTGTAGTGTAGAACTGACCCACCGTGAGTTTCAAGGCTGTTAACTCTTTACAGGAATAGTAATAAGCTTATCTTTCTCCAGTAGAGTGGCTAGTGGTTTCTAACTGCTGACCTTGCAAAACTGTAGTGTGGAACCACGACATAACCAGGGCTCTCCTGTTAAACTAGGTCTAGTACAATAACTGGATGTCAATTCAGGGTGTTTATGGAGTAGAGAAAAGGGGATTTTATAATTACTGAAACTCTCTAATGTTCACACTTGTCATTACTTGAAATTATTTATTAGTACACTAAGTTTATATTGCTTTCGACTCTTTCTGTAAAGAGTTAGTCTTGGAAATCTAAAGGGGCAGTTTTACCTTGTCCTACAGGGTTGCTATGAGGCAGAATTATGTCAATGGCAGTGAATGAATAAAGTATGTATTAAAACTTTGTTTATATCCTTAATTTTGGTTAAATATCCTTGCAAATCAGATTATCTTTTTTTCCCCCCATCATTTTACTGGAGGCTTACAGTTCTTATAACAATCCATATATTAACTGTGTCAAGTACATTTGTACCTATGTTGCCATCATTTCCAAAACATTTTCTTTCTACTGAGTCCTTGATATATATCTTCTGCGTTGTTAAAAACCTGTGAAAGTATCTGAATAAGATGAAATTTTTCAATTATCTAATTTACATGGAAAGCTGAACAAGAATGAAGACTGAAGATGTGATACTTATGAATTATGGCCTTGAGAATTATATTAGATATACTATAGAGTGCCAGAAAAATGTAAAAATCAGTCTGTAGCGGCAATGATAGGGAAACTTGTTTCATGTACTTTGGCTCTCAGAAGGGACTAGTGTCCCTGGAGGTCAGTGAGAAACCCTCAATCAGCTGAAATAGTAGTGGCTGCAATCATGGGTTCAAATACAGCAATGACTGTGAGGAAGGTGCAGAACTGGGCAGCATTTCATTCTGTTGTACACGGGGTCCAATGTGAGGTGGAATCAACTCAACAACCTAGAAGAGACTACAGGCACTTACCTAAACCAAAAGGGGTGCTTGTGGCAGAACCAGTTGTGGAGTTACTATTAGGAGCTGATGCTGTGGTAACACTGCTTCCAGTGGTATTTGTTTGCTGTGTTGAATGATCTTGAGACCTGAGGAAAGTAATTAACAGTGTAGAGTCATGCTAATTATTTTCAAAAGAACCTGTGAAATCCTGATACACATAAAATGTAAGCTTTTAAACCAATTCGTACTACCATTCAGTCTATATTCTGAGATAACTAAGCAAACTTTACTCTCACTGCCATCAAGTTGAAGCTAACTCATAGCAATCATGTAGGGCAGAGTACAGCTGTCCATTTGAGTTTCCAACATTAACTGTTTACTGGAAGGAGAAAGACCCATCTTTCTCCAGTGGAGCAACTGGTGGTTTCCAATTGCTGCCCTTTTGGATCACAGCCCAACGCATAACCACGATGTCACCAGGGCTCCTTAACTAAGCATAAGGAATACAAAATTTAAAAAGCTAACCTCATTAAATAAAAAATACTGTAAATAGGCCAATTCCTTGAGTAGAATTTACATGTTACATTACTGTCAATCATACTGATTAGGAAAGAAAAGAACATATGACTATTTTTACAAAGCTTACAATATAATTTTTTTTAGTCCTCTTTTAAGTTTAGAAGTGAAAAGCAGTGTTATTCAGACCTCTGAAATTATTAAGGGAAGGCTAAGAAATCAATCAAACAATAACTGATTACTGTTTAATATTAAGTTGTGTGTTGTGTGTTGGGGGGCATCATTAGAAAGGCCAAGTCTGTTAACTGCCCCTTAAAAGTTTAGAATCTTACTCATTAATTCTAAGAAACTTATCTTCCTATCTTTACACACCTGAAAAATCAGGGTCTGTCTTACAACTGCTAACAGGTATCACCTATATATGTGTGATGCCTATATATGTGTGATGTGTTTGAGCCCTGGTGGTACAGTGGTTGTGTTCAGCTGCAATCCTTAAGGTCAGCAGTTCAAAACCACTATCCTCTTCTCAGGAGAAAGAGGGGGCTTTGACTCCCATAAACAGTTGCCGTCTCTGAGGAGAACAAACCATACAACAAGAAAGGATGCTAAACCTGCTGGAACCTGAAAGGTGTTGGAGACAATGAGCCAGATTTTAGGTACCTGGGTAAACACTATGCAACCACACCGCGGACTAAGCACCAGGGCACAACACAGGGGCTACACCAGACGGACATAACAGAGACCCTGCTGAATGAACTGAACCCCACCTTGAAGTTGCCTGTACCTTGGACTGTGGGCATGGGTTCTTGGGTGGGAGAGAAAGCAGAGACTAGCAACCACAGGGTTGTGGAAGTAGTGGTCATTGGACACTGGGGGAACCCCCCAGCTTGGTGGGTGTCCAATGGAAAAGGACCAGGGATCACCATACAGGTAATACCTCAATCAATGCCCACCCTGCAGTGACACAAAGATTGGGATAAGTTGAGCAGGGATCTACATTTGGAAGAATTGACCCAGGAAGGCCCACACTGGCATCAATCCCCAGACTTAGGGTCAACAGAGCCCAAAAGAATGAGACATCGAACTGTGTAGGACAAAAATGCATGGGTTGCAGCTCAAGATGGCAGTGTACTCAAAAAGACTCCTCACACTGGCAGTGTCTGGAGGGCTAGGTCATTGGGAAAATTGATGATGAGTGCAATCCACTTACACCCCAGAGGGGTGGATTGACAATGCTGTAATCCTTTGCTTATATAAGGTTTTTGCTTTCTTCTTTGTAGCTTTTTTTCTTGCTTCTTGCTTCTTGCTTTTTTTCTCTTTGTTTTGGGGTGTGGGTGTGTTGTGTTCTGTTTGGTTGTTAGTTGGCTTATAGCTGCTACTGAGGCAGGTCTTACAGGGTTGTGATTTTGTCACATGATGACCACTGAAGTAAACCTGAAACATGCAAATCCCATGGGGAAGCAGTTGGCATCTGGGTTCCTACTAAACTCTAGCCCCAATTCAAGAACAGTTAGTTCTCATAACATGACCCCGCTAGATAGTCACCTTCATAGAATGATTCATAGTATGATCATAGAATACAGATGCTAGAGCAGTGTGGTGAAGAAAGTAGATGGTTCCTGGCTATCAATCAGAATAGTGTGTGAGGTCTTAAAGATTTATATTCAAACAAGCAGCCATCTAACAAAGGAGTCAACTAAGTCCACATGGAAGAAGCCACCAGCTATGTGATCCAAAGACGACAACTACAAAATTTGAATATGGCGAAGGGAAAAGCACCAAAGCTAAAATTATGAACATCCAATTTGTAGAAGGTTATAGAGGACAATGGGAGCCCAAAACCCACCTGCAGAGTATCTAGTCAGACGGAGCCACTAGCAGATCCCCTCTAATCCCAGGTAAGAGTCTCGGACAGCCTGACCATCAAACAGAGACCCCTGTAATCTTGAGCATTCTGAGTTGAACTCCATACTTAGCCAGATGACCTCCTAGAGATCCGAACTGAACTTGTTATGGGTTTAAGTATCTCTTACTTGGTTCCATGACAGAAATTTCTTCCCTGGCTTTTTGAATGTGGGTAAGGGTCTTCTCTTTCTTATGCATTATTTGTATTTTGGTCTTCATATTATTATTATATCCTTATGACCTTATTTTGATTTTTCTTTTTATTGTTTCTGCTGGGTTTTCCAGTTTGTGATGCGCAGGAATGGGTGCATATTGACAGTAACTAAAACAAGGGTTGGTAAGGGATGCAGGGGTAGGGGTGGGGGAGGGTGATAAGGAAGGAAAGGGGATTTCAAGAATAAAAACTGAAAGTGGGGAGGGGGAGGGAGATCTAGAACTGTGATTGCACAACTCATTTGAAAGGTGATTTAACCATGGGGGGGGTGGTGTAATTCTAAATTGATATGGTAATGAATGCACAATTCTCCTTGATGATTTAATGAGTGAACTATCAAATGACATATGTAAATTATGTGACAATAAAACTGTAATTTTTTTTAATAGGTGCCCTCTCAGAAACTCACAGGGCCAGCTCTATACTGCCCTACAAGGGTCGCTGTGAGTCAGCATTGACTCGATGACGGTGAGCTGGTTTTTGGTTTGCACATGTGTGATCTTATCTGTGTGACTTTAAAGGAGTGATTGAGTGCATTGCTGTATCATAAATGTTCTGTGTAAGTGCCACATAAAATGTCTGCAGAGAGATTTCACCATTAATTAGCACTAAACAGGCAGAAACATGAGATTGGGTCTAACATCAGTGAAGCAAATATAATTGCCATTTTGCAAATACTAGCATAAAAGCTTGCAGAAAGGGTATCAATGGCTTATAAGTAAATTAGCATTCTTAAGTGAAAGCCTTATTCATTTATTACTTATATCATTAAGCCAATTTATTTCATTTCTACAGTTGACCCTTAACAACATGGATGTGAACTGCGCAGGTCTACTTATTTGTGGATTAAAATAATTGTTTTTAATAAGCATTGTGATGCTAATTGTTGCTGTGTCAAAAGCTCGTCTTTCCAGTGAACTGTGTTTAAAAATAAAAAAGTGGTCCCTTGTGATTTATCTTGTTTAGTGCAACTGTAAACCTGAATAATCCCATGAAACCCATACAAAAGCACAACATGACATAACAAGAAAAGGTCCAATTGCTTGGTATGTTCCACAGCTGTGAGTGCCCACCATTTCAAGATAAATGATTCTGGTATAAGGATCGTTGTAAAGTAAGAAAAAGAAATGTGACAAACTAACACTGCAGCTACACCAACAGCTACAAAAACCTGAACTTTGTGAAATATCTCATCCAGTATTAAAAATGCAATTTTTATGTGGGTGCAATATATAACACACAAACATGTTAATTGGCTGTTAACGTATTGGTAAGGTCTTTAGTCGCCAATAAGCTAAGTACCATATATACTTGAATATAAGCCAAGTTTTTCAGCACATTTTTATGCAGTTTTTGTAGTAAAATTAGGTGCCTCCGCTCATATTCGGGTCTGCTTATGCTCGAGTATATACAGTATTTAAATTTAGGGGAAGTCAAAAGCTACACGTAATTTTTCACTACACAAAGGAGAGAGGGTCAAGCACACCCTAATTCCTGTGCTGTATTTCTCTATGTATGCACAAGAGTGCTTTAATAAAAAAAAATTTAATTCACACCCAAAATCTGGATTCCCGGACTTACTTAGCCCCATTTTCAGAAAATAAAACTACTCAGCAGCAATTTAAAAATGCCATGCTACAGTGCATACACCAGGATAAAGTAGTAGGTATCTGCTTTATCAGCCCCTCTAAACATTCCAGTAGCCCTAAGGGGCAGCATCAACCACTTTGGGAAACACTGGGCTAAAAAGAACCCTGACTCGACATAAAATAAAACTTTTAGGTGATAAGAAAATGTCAGTTTAATTGACAATTTCTCCATAATGCACAAAATAAAAGTACCTCTTAATTAATGATGCGTTAGATTAAATAAAATGATTATTGATTTGCAATTTACCAAATAGATTAATTTCCCCAGATCTTCAACCAAAATTTTCCAACACAAAAAGCACAGCTAAAATTAAATTAATTTCCTTTTATTTTAATTTAAATCAGTACATTAATGACTAAATACTAAGGAAAATTAAAAATATTACATGTTGTCTGTCAATCATCTAAGCATTAACAATATATAATCACACTGTTTTACTCAATTTGTTATCAAGAGTATCATTTTAATACATTTAAATATTAATAACAGGGAAAAGCAGTGAAAGCCAACATTGGTTGATTTCAAACAAATATTTAGTCACAGTTAGAAGTTATCTGTCTTTTAAAAACATACCTGTTTTGTGTTTTGATGACAAGGTGAACAGTAAGTCCATCGTGAATTCCATGTTGACTCAAAGTATCTTGATCTTTTAAAATTTTTCCCGCAAATATCAACACAAGCTGGTCAGTATGTGATTTGAAACGTTTAGAGATTTCCTCCTTGAACTAAAGAAACATGAAACAAGTATGTATTAGATGTTTTCATGGCACCATCCAGTCTAGATCCAAGTAGTATCTCACAGAAACCCTTGAGGTCCCAATTACAGATATTACAATACAAGCAAGATACATGTTTTCTTGTCTCCAGTATCTTGATCTTAGTGGGAAATTAGTATTGTCATTTCACTATTTCTAATGCAAAAGTCCAATTGATGCAAATATCCTATAACTGACATTCGACTGAGGGGTAACAATTCACTTAGTCACAATATCTTAATTAGGTCAATAGCGCCAAATTCCGTTCAAGCCACAACTAGATTTCAACAAACTTACAAGAATCTATTCTTCCAACTTCCATACCCAATCCTGCATGCACTTGCTCACCTGCTTACTCTGTCTCTGTTGTGTCTTTCTCTATCACACACACAGCCGACAATGACAATCCCATATTCTCCTCGGCCTATTACACTATCATCCCCATTTCTTTCATTCAATATTTAGTAATGTGTAGCATTATGGAAAAAGAGAGATAAAAGCAGGTATCTTTTCTTAAAGAGAGCAGTTCAATGAGTCAGTCGAGTAAAGCACAGGCTTTCCAGAAAGAAAACTGAAGATCAAGAAATAATTGGGTGAAACATACAACTTTCCTCTAGTTCCTAAATGCTTCCTCCCCACCCACTATCATGATCCCAATTCTACCTTACAAATCTGGCTAGACCAGAGGATGTACACTGGTACAGATAGGAACTGGAACACAGGGAATCCAAGACGGATGATCCCTTCAGGACCAGTGGTGATACCGGGGGAGGGTGGAAAGAGGGTGGGGTAGAAAGGGGAAACCAATTTTAAGGATCTACATACAACCCCCTCCCTAGGGAACGGACAACAGAAAAGTCGGTGAAGGGAGACGTCAGAGAGTGTAAGATATGACAAAATAATAATTTGTAAATTATCAAGGCTTCATGAGGGAGGGGCCAGCGGGGAGGTAGTGGGGGAAATGAGGAGCTGATGCCAGGAGCATAAATTGGAGAGCAAATGTTTTGAGAATGATGAGGGTAACAAATGTACAAATGTGCTTTATACAAGTGATGTATGTATGGATTGTAATAAGTTATATGAGCCCCCAATAAAATGATTGTTTTAAAAAAAGAAAAATAATCGGGAAAACTCAAAATTTCCAGAGAATAACATGCAAAACAGATAATAAGAAAGTGCATCATACTACAGAGAGTAATTTACTTATTCTATGCTAGATCAGTGTTTCTCAGAGTTTCTCCACAAACACCTGTAAGGTTAGGAGTCATGTGACAATCTGAATCAGAAAATGTCCAAATACGGCTCAGGAATCTACATTAAGACTGACTCAAGATTACCAGTCCAAATTATTTTTTTAAATCATATTTGAAAAACATCTTCAAGCCACTATATCCCACTAACCTACAACAGAGATTCTATAGTTGATACTACTCCCAGGGGGCTGTTTTGAAAACATGAGGACATTCCTGGTTGTCACGTAACTGAAGAAATATTCAATATACAGTTCTTTGGTAAGGAGTTTCTTCTCTGCTTGTCACCCTTGGCCTGGTCTCTGCCCCACTAAGCACTGTTACAAAGCTCTTTCAGCTCTGCTGGTAAAGTGCCCTCACTCCACTTTGCATAAGCACCTGAAGGTGGTCAGCTCTAGTTCCATTGAGTCAACAATGAAACTTCCAATTAGGTGCCTAAAAGACACAGCATTCTGTAAGCAAGTCCCCTTCAAAAAGCAGTAAGCTTTGCTTGCTTCATCCGTCTGGAAACCTAAAGCTCTCTGGCTCTTGGTTCTGCTGCTGCTTCAGCTACTCTGCCACTCCTCTGCTGCGGCAGTTTCCAGTCCCTGGATTAATCTTAATACACAGAGATCTTGGCAACAAAAGGATGTGCTCTAATCTTGGCTCTTTTCAATGATTTTGAGATTCCTCCTCTTTCTGCTTCAGAAATGGTTCATTTTATACCCAGCAGGATGGCAATGTTGATCAGTTCCTACATTAGTTTCAATATTCAAGTTAACATGTAACATTACCAAGTTAACAGTTACAACTGAATCATAAACTATCAGCATCTTTCTTAGGCTCATCAAGAAACACAAAAGATCTGCATTGTCCTATCTAGTCATTTGGTGGAGGTTACAAGAATCTGGCTAGAAGAGCTACATAAAGTACAGTACCATCACATCAAGTAGCTAAAATAAAATGTCTTTATACAATAACATTTTCAAAATATTCTCTAACTAGAAGACAAAAAACTAAAAGGAATCCACTGCCACAGTCATAAAGTGAAATTTCTTAACATGGCTCTTTGACCAAGTCTCTAGGATGTCTACCAAATGAGTGGGTTGGGCTACGAAAATAGGCTATGTAAAACACTAATTGAGGGGACTGGCTAATTTTTGTTATGACGCCCCTGGCTATAAGGATAAGCCATTTTTGAAGCGGCAGCAAAGAAACCCCAACGACTTTGGAAGAGCTCATTCTAGATCTCCATCTGGAAGCGGCAGAGGCTGCTGAGACAAAATGCATGACTGGCACAGAGGTTCAGAAGAGTCAACCTGAGACTATGGAATATCATCCACTATCTGGCCTGCAACTTTGGAACTGTCAGGCAGAGTGACAGGCAGGTTAGCTTCCTGGCCCATGGAAGCAAGGCCAAAGAATCATGTGGCTGAGACAATAAGGACTGGAGAAAGGTTGGGCTACAGAGACCAATGACTGTTATCCTTACTGTTTGTTGATCCTGACTTGGGGTAATCTATTGATTTCCTTAGTAAAACTCTATTACTGTGAGTACTGACTGAGTTGTGTGGCTAATACAATTAATTATCACACCCAGCACAGATGTAAGGTGGCAAGAGAGAAACGATTAGTGCCAGAATAAGTAATACAAGATGACTAGTGGATGCAGGTCTGACTCTTGCCTGGAGGCAATTGGAGCCAGAGGTCAGATTTGGGGTGGACTGCTTACCTGAGCTACTATGATTCAACTGTAATTCATACCAACCCTATTATACAGAATGAAACTGCCTGGTAGGGACATTACGAGGCTATATCTAGACAGAAGACTGTCAATCTTTGCCCCATAGAGTGGCAGGTGGGTTTGAACCACCAACATTTTGAACAGTTAGCAGCCAATCACTTAACCACTACACAAAACAAGGGCTCCTCTCTCTCTATAAAAAGCAAAACCAAAGTCGTTGCCACAGAGTTGATGATGACCCACAGCAACCCTAAAGGACAGGGTAGATCTGCCTCTGTGCCTTTTGAGGCTGTCTTAACTCTTTAAGACAGTGGTTCTCAACCTGTGAGTCACGACCCCTTTGGGGGTCGATCCACCCTTTCACGGGGGTCACCTAAAACCATCTGGAACCACATATTTCCGATGGTCTTAGGAACCAGTATCCGTACCCAGGTGGGTCCACCCACATGCAGATACCCACATACAAGTGCAGGGCATGATGACATCCATCACACGCCAATCCTGCCACATACACAGCATACACATACAGGTGTACGTGACAGGGTTGGTGCCATAATGTACTTAGGCAGACCAGTCACACATGTGTAGAGAACAGCTGCTGAGTTGAAAGCAGCTGCATGAATTATAACTACTGGGTAAATGTAAAATCATCAACTACTGCATATATATATATATATATATACACCATGGGAACTTAATCTGGATGCTGATCAGTCTTTTATATTCAGCTGTGGTTGATGTGAATACTGCCCCCTTATGATAGTAACAGGTATGTAAAAAAATTACAGAATGGTAAATCATAAAAAACTTTGATGAACTGTGCCATGTATCTTTTGTACTATTAAAGCTATTGTTATATATTATTTTCATTAGCTATTGTTATATATCATTTTCATGACAATGGATCAGGTACTGAAGAATGTTAAAAAAATATAGTGAGGCTTTTCTTTTTAAAATCATTTTATTGGGGGCTGGTACAACTCATCACAATCCATACAAACAACCATTGTGTCAAGCACATTTGTAGGGATTAAACCCTTGCTGCCCCATGGGCAGGGATCCTGGCTCAGCTATATTGTTACTTTAGTTTCCTTCTCCTCTCTCTATCCCCACACAGTCTCAGCAGGCTTAGTTTTTGGTTTTTTTCTCCTCTTTGTCTCTTCCCTGTTCTCTCACACGCCACTCCCCTTAGCCTATGGCATTGACACCTGTCCCCCACCCAGTTAGATGAGCTCCACCCTGTGCAACATAACCCAAGGCTAGGGAAAGCCAGGGGACCTCCAACAGGGGATATTGCACCCAACTTCTTACTGGTGGAATTCCTGCCTGTGTGGCTGAGGGAACATTCTCCCACCTACCTTAGTGCCTCACACGGCTTAAGGCAGCTCAGCCAACACTTGCCAATGTTCCAAGCTGCTGCAGGAACTTCTGGCCAACCTCCGCAGTGATGTACCTGGCTAGGGCAATTCCGCCCACCATTCTCGGTGTTCTACACCAAAGCAGGCAACCCATCAGCCTTCTGGGGCACTCCCTTTGAGAGTGAAGCCACAGAAGGATAAAGTGATAGGCTAATCCTATAGTGAAATTAGCTGTAGGCAGTTCAAAGAAGCATTCCTACAAGTCTCCCAGAGAAAGCCAGTGTTCTTCGACTCCTTGGAAAATGGCACCTGACTACTCTAAAACAACGCATCGCACACAGCCATCAGCACCAATGACCTCAACAAAAAGAAAACAGGAGAAACAAAAGGCAATGGCAAAAGGTGTCCTGAACCTAATGACATGTATAGAAGCAGCAGACATTGATCTGCCACAGAAAGAAATTTTGAGAATGCTGCTTGGAGTCATATAGGATATGAGGGAAACAATACAAAAAAGGGATGAAATGATAAGAGTAGATAAAGTTCATACAGCAAAGGGAAATACAAGAGCTTAGGGAGGAGGTAACAAAAACCAGTAGCAGACTCCCGGACCTCGAGAATAGACTGGAGGAAGCAGAA